AATAACAAGTCTTTTATTGAGAAGCTCTCATTGTCATTAGAGTTAGCCTCCCTACTGAAAAAACAAAGAAGAAGTTAAGAGTAAGTACTACATTTTTTTATTCCAACTATAAACAAAAGTCTTACATGTTGATACGATCTTATTTATTATTATTAATATTTTTTTTAAAGATATATTGTTTTTGTTGTTGTTATAAATGAGTGGACTATTTAAAAGTGTTTTACAAAACAACCAATCTTGTACAAGTGCTATGTGCAATGCACTTTATGATTTGTAGTTGACATATAAGAAAAACAAAAATGCTAGACATTTGGTAAAACTTTTGGTAGAATTTTTGGGGCCTCTAGCATTACTTTAAGAAAAATGTTCTTTTGAATCCAAATGTATTTATTATGACAAGTTTAGTTTTCAAAAAACATTAAATAAAAAGATAGATGTTAGTTGAAACGGTTCCACACTTTTTTGAATGTTTCAATAGTTTACGGTTGCATTTGAATTAAGAATCCCCCCCCTCCAAAAAAAAATTAAGAATTTAAAAGAAAAAATAAAAATAAATGAAACATAAATTAAATTATGCGTAATTGTTGGGTGGATTATGAGACAAAAATAATTTAAATAAGTTAAAAAAAATGATTAATGGTAAATTAAGAAATTGATATTTTTAATCTCTATTTTATAATTATTAACTTTTAATTTAATAAAATTTGTATCAAATATTGATAAAATTCAAAGTCTAATGTTTCTAGAAAAGAAGATTGAATGAGTAAACCCAAAATAACCACGTCTAGTGTGAATAAAAGAATAAAATTATACGAATTAATTGGTAAATTAATTAGTGTATTAACAAAATGATGTGTAATAGTTCATTGATTTGTAATTTATATAATGAGTAGGATCTATAATTTGAAAATTACATTACTATAGCTTATATTGATCCAGTAATTAATATAGTAATTGGTGTGTAGTGTCATTGGTGAACAAAAGCATACTGCATTTAATTCTTGGTCATCTCTAAACAACATACATTTAATGAATCAAACAACCATAGAATGAGTGAGAAAATGAGTTCCTCCCCTTATCCTTAACAACCTTTAAAAAAATTCAAAAAAAAAAAAAAAATTTTTTTTTTTACTCTTATCCCTAACAACCTTTCCCATTTGAAACCAAAAACAAAAAATTAAGAATACAAAAATAGATCACAAAATTACACAATTCTCTAATGTGAAATACACTTACAATTGTGTCTGATTTTATGATAAATTTATGTGTAAATAAATAAACTGTATGAAACCATAAGTGTAAAATACAATGTTCATCCTCTAACCCAAGAAGTTTGATTTTTAAATTTTTTTAATGAGACCTAAAAAATTTGAGATGAACTTATCACAAATGGAGCTTGGGTTTTTTGTTTTTATATTCCAACATGGTACAAGACCAAAAATCCTTTTAAAAAAAATCAAGATTGCAGATCAAGTTGTTTTTTTTTAAAAAAAAAAATTGGAATGGCAGAGTCAAAGGCCACCACATCCCAATGAAGCCCTCCCCATGTGTTCTCTAAACCCCATGAATTTCCCTAGAAAAATCCCAAATGGAACTTCCCAGTTACAACCTTTTTTGTTTTTTGTTTTTTTTTTGTTTTTGTCCATCAAACCTTGTGCAAAACCTTGGCATGAGCATCATGAAAAACATAGAATATATAACAAACCCTTCAATTATGTATGTGAGTTGTCAGTTTCCCAAAACAAAAACAACAAAAACCCAACAAACTCATTTGACCAATTTGAAAATTATACATTAATAAAAGCACAGTTAAAAGTGTCCTATTTTTGCACATTTTCGCTTGTAGTCATTAGGCACAAATTTAGCTTGCACTTTATTAATTAACATTTATCTAAATAATTGTTTACAAAAACTTTTTTAGTTAACTTTTTTTAAATTAGAACTTTCCAATTTGGGACTAAAAAATTTGTTTGGATTAATTTTTTAGTTTTTTTAACTTTTGTGAAAGAAAAAGTAAAATTATTATAATTTAGATTTATCTTTTAGTGACTATTTTAACCCCAACTGACTTTGCCAAACAAAGCCTTGTCTTCTTGCTAAATATTTAAAGAATAATAACCAATGAGAGAGAGGGGGTCAAAGGGGGTGGGAGGAAAAGGGGGATGAATCATTGTTGATATTTAAATTATGTGTGTGTACGAGTATGTTTGGATTGGTTTGGAAAAAATAAAAAATATCAATTTAATCATTCTTGGTGGATTAAAATAATTTTTTAAGAAAATAACTTTTCTTTAGATTGGATAGGACTAGAGAGTATGAACTTGTACAGTATCACCACAACACTTTCTATTAATTTTTATAAAAAATTACCAACGGGATAACCATCCAAAGCGTAGAGTGGACATTCCGATCAAGTATTCGAACACTCTTCCCATTTTCTAATTAGTAGTTAGCTTGTCCATTCACAAAATTGAGAAAATAATTGAATATTTTGATAATTTTAAATTAATAATTAGGGATCCTATGGTAACAAACAAGTATCATCAAAAAGTAATTATAAAATGTAACTCATTCTCTTTATTTTTTTACATTTATTTTCTTAAAAAGTTAAAAAAATTTATTAAAAAAAATCAATTCTCAAACCAACCTTAAGGACAAGTTGATTGGGTTAAAAAATAAAAAATATTAGGCATATAATATAAAAAATACAGTGAATCACACTCACATATGGTTCACTACGGCCCATAATCCAAAATCAAGCACATGGTCCACCCTATTAAATCCCCTCTAATTAAATAGTTTTCTCATTTTTACATAATAATCCTTAGCGTTGTGTTTTGTTGAGGAATTTAAAAATAAATTTAAAAAGAAAAAAAAAAGTAAAATGTAAATAAAATCCTTAACGTCGTCTATATATCGTTAAATACAAAATGCTATATTTTTAAAATTTTAAATATTATCCCTTTAGTAATGTTTTAATCATCATTCCAAATAAATTTATATTATTTTATAAATAAATAATAAATAAAACATTTTGCTAACTTGTATCATGAAATTTTAAAAATCTGATCATTCTGAACATATATGTAAGGGTATACCTTAACAAGATCTTTAAAAAAAAATTAACAATTGCCGTAAGTAAGTGGATGGTAATTTTACAATTAATGATTTATTTAATAATAATAATAATCATAATCAAAATCAAAATATTAATGGATTGATTTTTAAATAAAATTATCTTTAATTACAAAAGTACCCAATAACACTTGTTAAAAAAAAAACAATACTTTAATATATATAAAACATATTTTAAGATTTAATTTTTTTTTATATTTTTTGCCTTTTGTTTTACTTACAATTTGTTAGACTCTCATTAGTGTAATTCACATTTATAGAAATATCAAATAAGTGAAAATATAAACAATAATTGTAAATTAATAAAAAAAAATGGCGTAATTTTTATTTTTATTGATCATAGTTTTTTGTGTTTTTAGGACACAATAAGAAATAAATGATATATATTATTTATTATACATAATTTTATTTAAAACGGTTAAACTTCTTAATATGTGCATTTAATATACATCTTAACAAATCTTTGATTTAATAGTAATTCTATTAACACATAAGAGGAATACAAAATTATTGTGACTTCTTTCAACACATAAGCAGGAAAAAAAAAAAAAATGAAAAGTAAAAACATAGCAACTTGCATTTTGTTTTGCGTTCCATATTATGTGTATAAATTGTTAAACCTCATTAAAATTTCGTTCGAAATTAGTTCAATAATTCAATAAATTAAATTTAAATATAATTTTAAGTTTATTTTAAAATCAAATTTAAATAATTAACTACTTAGTCTCGTTTAGAAATAAATTATTTTAATAATTTTTTAGTTTTTATAAAAAAATATGCAGAAAAATAAAAAGAATGATGTAACAACTTATGATAACATTTTGATATTTTGACTAAAATATTTAATTTCCAAACAAGACCTTAACTCGATAAGCTCACATGTGCTATAAAAAAACTCATTAAATTTCTAAACATAATTTAAATAATTTATTACTCCATTCGACTTGACTCAAATGCATTCTGATTGTACATTTCTTATTTTGTTTTTTTAGTATATGAAATGTTTTCGTAATCTAGTGATCCATATAATTGTTCCTTTAAATAATAAAAAATCAAAAATTGAGCATTTGGAAAAATTATCAAATACTTCTAGGATACCATGTGTTCCACACTCCTTATCATTCACTATTCTCCCATATTTCTCAATCACTCAATACAAGATTGTAATATTCTATTTTTTTTCACTAATTATAATATCATTTTTAAATTATCTAATGTAAAATTATAATAACCTCTCCTCTATCAATTATAATATTCCCTCTTCTATCAATTAAAATATCATACAGTATGTTTGGTTTGAGTTTTTTAAATTAAGTTTTTTGAAAACTAAAGTTTTTTGATTTTTGTGTTTTTAGTGAATATTTTTAAAATTTTAAACATTTTTTTTACTTTTTTATATGCACCTTACTTAGATGTATCTAAAAAGTAAAAAATTTGTGAAAAAATATTTTTAAAAATTAATAAGTACATAAAAATATAAAAAATGTACTGAATTCTTATATTTTTGGTATTTAGTGGATTTTTAAAAGATTTTTTTACAATTTTTTTTACTTTTTAGGTATATTTATGTTAAGTGTATCTAAAAAATAAAAAAATTATTTAAAATATTAAAAAAATTCAATAAAAACAAAAAAATATAAAAAATAACAAAATAGAATTTTCTAAAAAACGTTTTTTAAAAAATTCATGTGACCCTGGTCAGTTAAACGAGTATTACTATTTCATTGTGATCAAGCCTAACTAACATCATACATCCTACAACAAAATAAAAATAAATAAAAATTTCCGTTACATAGAGATTACTATGCCAGAGAGAATCTATTTTCTCTCTCTCACACACATATATATATATATATATATACACATGCATATGCCAGAAACGATTTCCCTGAAACACGACCGCGGCTTTTCTGTCTTCCTTGAGAGAGAGAGAGAAAGAGAGAGAGTTTGATTCCACCAATCTAGAGAGAGAAACTACTCAGACGAAACCACGACCAAACCCCTCTCTGCCGCCTCTCCCCTCTCCCCTCTCTCTGTCATCTCTCGCATGTAACACGCACACACACACACATATATATATATATAACTCTATATATAGGCAGGGAGGAGGCTGTAGTATATACAATGCTGGTTTCATCGTGAGATCTCACCGGCGGCGACTTTCATCTCCTCCGGTGGCCTTATTCACGCCATGGGTTCGGGCACGATTGTGAGCTGCGCCGCAGTCAACGGCGGCGGCGGGAGTATGAAGAGCTGCGTGCTGTCGTCAACCTTTGCCTTCTTCCTTTCTTCATTCCTTGTATTGGGATCGATTGCCACCTTGTACGCTTGGTTTATCATTACTCCTCATGTCCCTACGACTCTCTCACCTCTTGGCTGTCAAGACGACAATGAGGGCTCCTGGTCTATCGGTGTCTTCTACGGCGACTCACCCTTTTCTCTCAAACCTATCGAATCTGTAAATCTCTCTCTCTCTCTCTCTGTTCTGTTTTCCCCTCTTTTCTAATTTTTCTGGGTTTGGGATATGGGTATATATATATGTGTGCGTGTGTTTTATTTTTCTCAATTCTTTGATTTTTGAGGGTTTTAGGAATTGGGTCTTTGTGGCCTTTAAGAAAATGGATGTCTTCTATGGCGACTCACCCTTTTCTCTCAAACCTATTGAAACTGTAAATCTACGTCTCTGTTCTCTGTTTTTCTCTGTTCTTTATTTTTTCTGGGTTTTAGGATGGTGGGTACATATATATATATATATATATATATATTTGTGTGCTCTGTTTTTCTGTATTCTTTGATTTTTGAGGGTTTTGGGAAATGGGTTTTTGTGGGTTTTCTGATTTTTGTTGGTTTTGATTTGTGGGTTTGAATTTTGGATGACAGGTGAATCAATGGAGAGATGAGAGTGCCGCCTGGCCTGTGGCCAACCCAGTCCTCACTTGTGCTTCAGTTTCTAATGCCGGTTTCCCTAGTAATTTTGTTGCCGACCCTTTTCTTTATGCTCAGGTAAATTTCATTTTCAAATTTTTTTCTCTCTCTTCCTTTTCTTTAATTTATTCATTTGTTTTTTCGTTCCAGTCTGTGTAGATGTGTTCATAATTTACATATATTATATATGTGTATTTGATTTCTATGAATTAAGTTGGTGTTTGTCTTCAATGGGCAATGAAACAGTACCATTAATACGGAGGTGGTGATGTTGATTTTTTTTTTTAAAAAAAAAATTGAATAATAAATTTTGATCTTACTGCCACCCTCTGTTTTGCCCTTGCTTTAGCCTGCTTGAATCGAGTAATTTGTTGTTTTTTAAACAATTATTTATTTTCAACTTGTGAGTCGTTGTCTTTATTGCTATTATTTTAATTTCACAGTTGGAATTGGAAGATATGATATCTAGATCCCAAAAATTAAGTCCTAGATCCAAAATAAGTTGTTTTTTGAGACGTTTCAACTCTTAATTAAATTGGTTTGGAAGGCCTTTTGTGTCTTGATTAGCAAATTGGTTCGAAAAGGCACTAAAAATTAAAATCAATTGTGGTTGAGAAAAAGTTGCTGGTCCAATAGATAAAAGTGATTTTTGCATCTTGAAAGGAAAGACACTTTTTATTCAATCAAAGAAACTAAAGTAAATCAGTTATCGTTGATTGGGATTTTTCTTTTTCTTTTTTTCTTTTTTCCCTCCCTCTCAAAAAATGAGATGAAAGTATCAATTTAGCTGATTGAATGATGTAGATATCATGGGTTTTCGCTATAAAAATATTTGAAATGGCAATCTTTAAGTCTTTTCTATCATTTTCTCTTTCTCTTTTGTCCTTTGTAGCTGAGGCTCACACACAATATAGGAAGAGGCAGGGTTTTGTTTAAGGGCTTCCTTTTATGGAATGTTCTGTTGCTCACTTAAGTTTATATATAGTATATCAATGTTTTATGGTTTTTCCTACTTCTAATGGTAGCTTTGGCCTTGTTTGGTGCAACTTTTGGAGTTCCTTATAATTTTTTGTACCCAAATTTTAAAAATTTGTATCAGAGTGTTTAGTGCAACTTTTACTTGTATAGCTAAGCTTACGAGACAAAATTTATAAAAAAAAAAAAAAAAAAATTGATTATTTGAAAGTTGGGAGATGGGTACTTGTTAGATTCTGTTTTTATTTTTTATTTTATTTTTATTATCAACTCTAAACTTTAAAAAAAGCTGCATCATACATGCCCTTAAGTTGGAACTGAAAAGTGAATGAGCGGTTAATTTCAATTTGGAGCTGTGAAGAATGTTGTGGTTTCTGAAAGTGTGCTGCAGAATTTATTTTTTAATCTGTCTTTTGAACTAGTTACTATGGAGTTTGAATATGAATGTCTGACTTTTGATGCTCTGTGTTTGCTGTCACATGTTGGAAAGGAACATACTCGAGTTCTTCCAACCCCCCGGGAATAGTCTTTTAGTTTTGATAGTTGCTTTGGGAAATCCTAGAATTAGGGGTGGAGATCATGGGCTTGACATTGTTATATTGTTTTAAACTTGTTTTTTGACCATGTTAGATTCATTTGCTAACATTTGATTTAGCTCTGTTCAATGTTTCCCCATTGACACTTTTATTGTTTTCAGAAGTTACTTTATTTTCAATGTCATAGAATCGTTACTCAATGGAATTTGTGGATCATTCTATCAATTTGAATCTTTGTAGTTCTTTTCTCTTTGTAACACTTGAGGGATGATTATAACGGTTTTTCTTTTGGTGAATTCCATTTGGAAAAAGCCTATCACATCATTTTTTTTTTTTTTTGGTTTAAAGTTGGTACTGTCTTTCGTACCTTCAGAGTAGAGATTGTTGATTGCCGTCTCATTCATTGTTCAACTCCTCTTATGTTTTGGCCAACCTTGGTGGTTAGATTTGGAATGCTTCGAATGTTTTGCATCATGTCTAATTCGGCGTCATCAATTACTAGTTTTTGGAGCTTAGAGCTCATAGAGCTTGCATTTCCATGTATGCGTGTACGTAGTTAGTTGGTTTGAAGTATGTGAATTGATGCTTACATGTGAACCTGAATAGACCAGTGTTTTTTTGTTTGTTATGTCTGTCATTCATCTTAGTGATTTCGGCATGTTGATTCAGGGAGATGCCCTTTACCTATTTTTCGAAACCAAGAATTCAATCACCATGCAAGGAGACATTGGAGTTGCAAGAAGTATTGATAATGGAGCGACATGGCAACAATTGGGCATTGCTTTAGATGAAGACTGGCATCTCTCCTATCCATATGTCTTCGATTACAATGGCCAAGTAAGATCTCAATTTCCTATGTACACATGCACTTGTGGTAGGGTGAGTGTGTTTAAACCATTAATTTTTAACAAAGTAATGCTATACAAACAGAAAATATATAGAAATTTTGTACAAAATGATATGGCTTCATTGTGGACCCCCTGACCGCCTCCCTCTGTGTCTGCCACTGATTCTAGGCGCCCTTTTGCATCAAAACAACAAGCCCATCAAGATGACTATTAATTGCAAATGCCACCGCTACAATTCTGGTGAAATATTCTAAGGATAGCCTTTTTCATCTTTACATAAAGATGTTGATGGCAAACATGGGTCCAATTTAGAACTAGTTTTTCTAAAATCAGTGTGCTTCGACAACTACAGATATTGGCTATGCCCCTGGGCTAAAATTGTTGAAGTATTTAAGTAGAGATTGAAATGAAGGTGGAATTGAATGATCATTCTTGATGTTTATTCTCATCTTTGGTTTACTAAAAAATTAATAAAAAGTATATTACAAATAAAATTATCATTCACCATTGTAAGTGAATGGTTATTTTGTGCTAGAAAATCTTCCAGATGTGGGAAATCTTGTGTCGGGGCTAGTAGCACAATCTTTTGTCATGCACTAAGACATACTTCTTGGTTGTGTCACTAAATTGTTGTCATTTTTTGTTTTCGTTTTTTTTATTTGTAGGTTTACATGATGCCGGAGGGCAGTGCCACAGGGGACCTCCGTCTATATCGAGCAGTGAACTTTCCTTTGAAATGGACACTGGAGAAGATCATCATGAAAAAGCCCCTTGTCGATGCATTTATCATAAACCGTGATGGAAAGTTTTGGCTTTTTGGTTCAGATCACAGTGGTATCGGCACCAAGAAGAATGGACAGCTCGAAATCTGGTACAGTAGCTCGCCATTCGGTCCTTGGAAAGCACACAAGAACAATCCTATCTATAACACAGATAAGAGCATGGGGGCTCGGAACGGTGGCAGACCGTTTGTCCACAATGGAAACCTCTATCGCATTGGCCAAGACTGTGGCGAGACATATGGTAAACGAGTACGTCTTTTCAAAGTGGAAATTCTTACCAAAGACAAGTTCAGAGAAGTCGAAGTTCCATTGGGCTTAGAAGAGCCAAAGAAGGGTGTGAACGCGTGGAATGGGGCCCGGCACCATCATCTTGATGTGCAACTGCTAGATTCCGGGAAGTGGATAGCGGTTATGGACGGGGACCGAGTTCCCTCAGGAGACGCAACTCGTCGATTTATTTTGGGATGTGCATCGTTTTTAGCTGTCGCTGCCCTTGTTATACTTATTGGTTTGCTGCTTGGCACGGTGAAGTGCCTTATCCCTTTGAGTTGGTGCCCGCACAATATGAAAAAGAGAAGCGACGCTTTTTTGGCTTGGGAGAGATCGAACTTGTTTTCTTCTAAATTAAGACAATTTTGTAGTCGGTTGAATAGGTCGAGTTCTTTCCTCCGTGGAAGAATAAAGCGAAATACTTGCAGCGGGAAGTTGGTACTCGGTTTTATATTTTTCGTTGGAGTGGCATTAATGTGCTCTGGGGTGAGGTATATGTGCGGAGGCAATGGGGCACAAGAACCCTACCCATTGAACGGTCACTATTCGCAGTTTACGATGCTAACAATGACTTACGATGCTCGGCTTTGGAATCTGAAAATGTATGTGAAGCATTATTCGAGGTGTTCTTCAGTGCGTGAGATTGTTGTGGTATGGAACAAAGGAAACCCTCCAGAATTAGATGAGTTTGACTCGGCAGTGCCAGTGAGGATCAGAGTAGAGAATCAGAACTCGCTGAATAACCGGTTCAAGATGGACCCCATGATAAAGACCCGTGCAGTTCTTGAGCTAGACGACGACATTATGATGCCATGTGATGATCTCGAACGAGGTTTTAAGGTATGGCGTGGGCACCCGGATCGTATCGTGGGGTTCTACCCCCGGTTCATCAATGGACCCCGCCTTAGATACCGAGGAGAGAAATATGCCCGCAGGCATAAAGGGTATAATGTGATTCTGACGGGGGCGGCTTTTGTTGACAGTACAGTCGCTTTCCAAAGATATTGGAGTGCGGAAGCCAAGGCGGGGAGGGAAATGGTAGACAAGAACTTTAATTGTGAGGATGTGTTGTTGAACTACTTGTATGCCAATGCGAGCTCGTCCAAGACTGTAGAATATGTGAGACCAACATGGGCAATTGATACGTCCAAGTTTTCCAGTGTCGCCATTAGCCGGAACACGCACGAGCATTACCGGGTAAGAAGTAATTGCCTCGTGAAATTTGCAGAAATGTACGGCAGTTTGACGCAGCGGAAATCTGAATTCAACCGCCGGAAGGACGGTTGGGATGTATAGTATGGTATAGAAATTTTAGCAGAAAGCAGGTCACAATACTCACTTCTCTTTTTTTTTTTTTGGGGTATAAATTTTGGTTTATTTTCCTTGTAAACTTATATTTTTCTTCTTCCTCCTGTTGTGAATTTTTGGAGGTTTGGTCAGTATAATGTACATTGGTCTGGTTGGGAAATTGTGCATTTGACCTTTTTGTGGTTTAGAAGAGATTGGAATGGAAACAGAGTATGATTCTGTGATGGGTTTGGAGGTTGGATTTGGAGAGAATTTGTGGAGAGAAAAAAAAAAGGAGGAGAATTTGAAAATAAAATAAAATTGTTAGTGTATATTTCATTATATTTTATTCAAGGGTTAAATGCATTATGTTCAGTGTCACTTTAATTTTTGTTATTTTAATTTTATCAATTTGATTTTTAAAATTTTGAATTTGTGTTTAAACGGTCCAATTGAGAGGCATTTTAGACATTTTCATAATTTCTTCTTCCTACCGTAGCTACCCCAGGTGATGCATTGAAGGGGTTTTTGACAAGGGTTAAGAGGGAGACTTCATAAGAAAATTTGTATTTGTTGTTAATTAATTATACATTATGTACAGGGAGCAAATATTTCGGCAAGTCCGTATTCCTTTCTTCCAAGCTCCTACTTGTCCTATCGATCTACGAGAACAATGGCAGTGAGCTACCCGGCAGTGTGTGGCCGGAATACTCCTCCGACGATCAAGTTAGACACACACAGGGATAGAGAGAGAGAGAGAGAGAGAGAGAGAGAGGGGATTGAGTGTTTAGTGTAAATCTCACCAAATGTTCATCTACCTCAGCGTAGGGGGCGCAGACTCGCTTATATACCTTCTGCGTCCCAAATCTACTCTCATTAGTCTCTCGACACGTGGTGCTGCTATCCCATCTGTCAGCACAAATCTAGCTGAACATCGCCTAACTGCCAGCCCACACCACTGGGAGCTCGGCAGCCGAGCTGTAGCATCTCGGCTGTCAACGGCCGTGTTGCGCAGCTAGCCAGAGCGCTCCGCTCGCCAAGCTCAATGACGACTGAGCTCGGTTGCATTCCAGCTTAGCCGAGCTCGGGATAAGTCATGCTGGTTAGCCGTCGGCCTTCCTGCCGAGCTAACGCATGAACCGCGGAACCCAGTGAGGCAGCGGACATCTCGGCCGAACCTCACTTGACCACTAGTACGACATCAATTATGCAACTATGCCATTACCGAGCAACTATGCCATTACCGAGCGAAAATCCTTTTTGGATGGGCCCGCGCAAGCGTGACTGGGATTACCTGTTCTGTCCGGGATAACTCTTCCTCGGTTCACAGTCTGCTAGACGGTGATCGGGCTAGTTGACATACCTGTCTTCAAACTTGCCCGGTCGACGCCTCGACTTGCCATCTTGTCTTTTCAGTACTGACGCCACTGTCAATAGGGACACGTGTCGCTCGTTCATTGGCCTCGAGCAGCCAACTGTTCCATCACATTCAAATTTTTGGCGGTCTTCCTCCCAAATATACTCCATTTCCTCTTCATTTCATTCTTACTGTTCCTCCTTCATTCCAAGCGTTCCAGAGCTCCTGTGCCTCTTGCAAGCCTCGTTCCTGTCTTTCCTTGCATTTGTGTTCGAGGAGGAAGCTCTTGCCCTTAACTGGTAAGTCCTTCGAGCCTCCTTTTTGCTATTTTCATTTGGTATTTCACATATTAGGGCAAAAAATCCGTAGGTTTTAGGACATAACCCTCCCAAAACCCACACTTGCCCCTGTTCTCTTCGTTGTTCTTCAATCCCAGCAATGAGCACATGAACACACGAAGAATGGAGCGGACCGGGCTCCAGATCGCCTTTTGATCCAAAAAACAATTAGACCGAGCAATTTACAAGTTTGCCAAAACCTTAGTAGAAACCGAGGTAGTCAGAGGACTTGGCCGCTCGACCGGGCTAACAACTGGTCTGCTTGAGCGACCGAGCTCCTTGGTTTGCCTTTGCGACCGATGTGGTCTGGCACTCTTCATGACTGAGCCAAAGTCAAGCTCGTTTTGCTCGACCGCGCTTCCACTTACACTTGCCATCATTTTCCTACAGAGTCCAAGGGGACCACTGACCAATTACCGAGGCTCTCAAAGACCGAGCAGCCATTAAACACCAGTCTGTGCCGAACCACCTCAGCCGAGCTAAACTAGCCGGCTACACATGGGGCGCTTCCGCTTCCTTGTTGATACTCCGGCTGCCCTGGTTGCGTTCCGGGAAGAGTATAGTATCCCGGTTGACGTCCGCCTAGAGCTCGGCGACATTGAGACAATCCCTTGGGGCAGATTAGACCAGTGCCCCTTCACCGTGCTATCTATCACTGAAGAAGGCCTTTGCTTCCCGGTCAACCCACTGATGATCGAATTCTTGCGCCGCATCGGGCTAGCACCCACTCAAGTCTCAACCAATACGTACCGAATAATCAACGGGGTCCACGAGTTGAACAACCGGCTAGGAACCAACTTAGGTTTAGCCGAGATACTCCGTCAATACACCCTTGGGCATACGGGTGACGGCCTCGCCTATTACTTAAAAATTCAACCGGGCAAAGAAAAAATAGTGACCGGCACCCCAGACAAGGACTTACACGACGACGACTTTTTCTGGGTGTCTAGCAACTATGAAACGGCCGACGTACTGGGCTGGTTTATTAGTAAGAACTTCGGCGAGACATGTAAGCCATGCTAACTGCTCGATCAATTTATCTTTCTTCACTATTCTGTACTTGACACTTTTCTTCTTTCCTTTGCAGCGATCTAAGCCTTGCAAGCCAACTACTACTACCCCAACGAAGCAGCCATCAAGACCGTGCTCCGTTACCTCAACCGGGATTGTAACGAGCTCCTTGGCTACACTCCAACATACCGGTATTCAGCGCCGCGCCGGAGTAAAGTCATTGACTTTCTCCGCGCTCCATCTCCGCTGCCAGATCCCACACTACTAGACGTCCCCTTTATTCGTTTAACCAAAGTAGAAGAAATGGCCAAGAGGAGTCGCATTAAGAACTTGATCACTGCCACCTCCTCCGAGATCCCGAGCATTCCAGCCTGCTCTCCGACTGTCGGTCAATCCAGTGGGACCGTGGTTGCGTTGGCTTCTCCCGCCGCCGGGCAAGCCAGCAGAGACTCTCGCTGGGCTGGCAAAAGGCCTCGTGCAAACCCTTCTGCCGAGCTAGTAACTGAGCTCAACACCGAGCAGCCTGCCGTCACCGTCGACCCAACACCGGTATGGAGGCCCCAGCTTAAACACCGGGGCAAGGAGATCCCGACAACAACTTCTGTTAAGGGCGACAAAGAGCATCTTCTCACCTTTGACCTCACCAAGGCCCTTCTCCTACCGAGCGACGTGGTCGGCAACGACCATGTTCCAGACACCCAGTTGGTGAAGTCGTCGGTCAAATCCATGACTAGGGTAAGAATCTCAAACTTGTGCTCAAAATTTCACCAAGTGTTTGTTCGGTTTTCTTTCTGATCAATCTCTTTTCTTGCAGGTCATCCAGAAGCAGCACTTGGTCATGGAGCGCATTCATTGGCTTCGGCAAAAGGCAACTGACTCTGCCAGCCAAGTTCAAAGCCTCCGAGCTGAGCTCGGGAGAGCCCAGTCTTCATTGCAAATGGCGAACTCCGACAACTCTCAGTTGCTCGGCCAGCTTGGCTCTGCCGAGAAGGAGAGAGACGCGCTCCGGGCTGATGCTAGATGCACTGAAACAATCATGGGAAGAGGATCTGAAGGGTGCAAACAACACCGGTTTCCTTGAGGCCGAGGAGAGTCACACAAAGCAGGTCCGCGCCACCCAAGGCATTTTCTTCAAGGCTGGATGGAAGTCTGCTTGTGAACATCTCGGCCAGGGGCCGGGGACTGACGTGTTCGCCACTCTTCTAGCTGCCTCTCTACCGAGATATCTCGTGCCCTACGCCAACGACGTCTTTATAGCGTTGCAAGCTGAGGCTGAGGCCGAGGAAGAAGGCGACGAGGAAACCGAAGAAAATGCGGAGGGGGAAAATCACACAGTTCAGCCCGGCCAAACGGAGACCAGTGTCCAAGACCAAACACCAACGGTCAACCTGGAGGCAGCCGAGGACGAATTCATTGACCTTTCCCCCATAGCTTAATTTTCTTTGTCTTCTTTCTTCCTTTTTGGTTTACACATGTACGGGCTATCCGCCCTTCTTGTAATTACTTTTCACATCAATGAAAAAGCTCTGTTTTCTTCAAGTGTTTGCACGTTCTTCATGCTAGATAACGTCGGCTGTCAAAATACCTCGGCAAGACTAACCACTTTATCTAACTTATCTAACCGAAAAAGACATCACGGTTTCCAGTATAAAGTTGAGTAAATCATCAACCGTGTTAACCGGAGTAAAACATCTCGGTTAAAATCACATTTTTGAACAAATCATCAACGAAATTAACTGGAGTAAAACATCTTGGTTTTGAATCGCAAATTTGAGCGAAATATCAACTCATTCAACCAGAGTTAACATCTCGGTTGAGAGTCTCAGAGTTGAGCAAAATATCAACTTATTCAACTGGAGTTAATATCTCGGTTGAGAATCTCAGAGTTGAGCAAAATATCAACTCATTCAACTGGAGTTAACATCTCGGTTGAGAATCTAAAAGTTGAGCAAAACATCAACTCATTCAACCGGAGTAAGACATCATGGTTGAGAATCTAAAAGTTGAGCAAAATATCAACTTATTCAACCAGAGTAAGACATCACGGTTGAGAATCTCAGTTGATCAGATCATCAACTCAATGAACCAGAGTAAATCATCTCGGTTTTAATCTCAAAGTCAACCGAAGTAAAACATCTCGGTTGTGACTCTCAAAATTGAAAAGCAATAATCAGAATGCTAAGGCAAAGATGAGACACTTCTATATATTGACAAAAAGAATATTACATTCTGAAGTGTAAGGCAAAAAATTCCTTTGCACAAAAAGAAAACAAAAGCTAAAAATAGTACAGTTTGAGGTTGGTCGCATTCCATGGCCGGGGTATTCCTTTGCCTTCTAGGTCCTCCAAGTGGTATGCCCCCTTGCCCGCCAGACCGATTATCTTGTAGGGTCCTTCCCAGTTTGCCTCTAGTTTGCCTTCACCTGGCACCAGGGTATTGCCCATGACCTTCCTCAAGACCTAGTTACCTACTTTGAATGGTCTGAGGTGCACCATTTTGTTGTATTTCCTTGAAAGCTCTTGTTGGTAGGCGGCCACATGGATGAGAGCCTTTTCCCGGCGTTCTTCCACGAGGTCCAATTCTAGGGCAATGGCTTCGGCGTTCAACTCGGGCTCAAAACTTTCGTTTCTGAGGGTGGGCATTCCAAC